TTGTAAGGAATGAATTTTTATCAACCAAGCTAAGTACACAAAAAAACTACTCAAAAAGTTTGGTATGTATGGTTTAAAAATAGTTGGAATACCTATGAGCACATCCATTAAGCTAGACAATGATGAAAAAGATAAGTTCATTGATCAAACAAAATATTGAGGTATGATCGGCTTACTTCTTTATTTAACTGCAAGTAGACTCGATATTATGTTTAGTATTTGTATGTGTGCTATATATCAATCAAATCCTAAGGAATCACATCTCAGTGCTGTTAAAAGAATTTTTAGATATCTTGTTGGCACTCAAAATTTGGAACTATTTTATCCTAGAGGTGTTGCATTTGATTTAATTAGTTACCCGGATGCTGACTTTGCCGGATGCAAACTTGATAGAAAAAGCACCAGTGGCATTTGTCACTTTCTTGGTAACTCATTAGTATCTTGCTTTAGCAAAAAACAAAATTATGTTGCTTTATCAATGGTCGAAACTGAATATATAGCTTCCGGAAGTTGTTGTGCCCAAATATTTTGGATGAAACAACAATTGGAGGACTTTGATTTGCATTATGATCACATCCCTATTAAATGTGATACTACCAGTGCCATCAATTTAAGCAAAAATTCAGTTCAACACTCACGAACAAAATATATTGAAATTTGACATCAGTTTTTATGAGATCATGTTCAAAAATGGGATATTGTACTTGAATTTGTAAACACCAACAAGCAATTGGCGGATATTTTCATAAAACCCCTAAGCGAGGATCGCTTCAATTTTATTCGTAGCGAGCTTGGAATGTCGATTTCTACTCAAAAAGTTTTGTTATGACTGTGAAACTTGAAGTTTTGTTAAAATGATATACGTGTATTACTACATTGATATGAAAACATTTATGTCAGTTGAATGCTCTCAAGTCCTTCATACATTTATTATCCTTAACAGTTTGTTATTCTCAATTGAGTAATTTTTTTTTTTGGGTTCTGCATCTTGAGGTAAAATTAACTTTGCATATATTGATTTTTTTTTAAATCCTCATGGTATTTTTTTTACATTACCATTTTAGTAACACCAACGTCCCATTAAGTTTAATTTCTGTTGATATTATTTTTTTTTAATTTTTTAAATTTTGCTATTAGGCTTAATTTCTTTTATTTTTGTTTTTATTTTTTTCTCATTCTTATTTTTTTGTTTGGGCTTAATTTTCTTTTTCTTTTTTTGCTTTTCAATTTCATTTTTCAGTACTTAAACATAAAACCAAAAATAAATCAAAATACAAATATTTACATAAAAAAAAAACAAAACATCCTTCATTTTTTTTACGGCCACAAGCTAATCAAAATAAAACATAAAAAAAAAAAAACCTTTCATTTTTTTTCCGGCCATACGCCGATCTTACTTACTCGCCTCTTCTATCGTTTTCTTCTTCTTTTTATCATCTTGGGCAACCCTTGACGCCCCTGCCTCCGTGCTTTTGTCGAGAGCGACGACTTCTCGTTGACTATCAAAGGCTAAGAACGATGTTGCTCCAAATCGGGCCATGGAGGCGGTTTTCTGTTTAAGCTCTTTATTTTCGGCCTTCAGTGCGCCTATTTCTGCTCGTGCATCATTGTACATGTGCTGGAGCAGAGCGAGTTAGGCGTTGACCTGATGGAGCTCACTCGTCCTGTTCTGCAATCGGTGAGCCAATTTTGTGACTGCAGTCACCGTCTCCATATAGGACGTCAGTGTGAAATGATTGGCTTCAATGTCTGATTGAGCTGTCATTCTTTGCTCAATCGACATCATATGAAGGTTGGAAAAAGTGGGAGTCGGGGCACTCGGCCCGGCAATGCTTATGGGATCATTCAAGTTCGGAAAGAGAGTAAGGGGATGGGACGAGGCCATGTAGTAGGAGAGAAAGATGTAATCGAAAGGAGATTCATTTTTGGCAGCCTTTTTGCTCTGTTCAGTTTTTCTGTTCTATCTTTCTCATGAAGCGAATGAGGAAGAAGAAGGCGAAGAGAGTAATTAAGAAAAAGACGGAGGAGAAGACGACAAGAGGGAGAGAAAGCCGAGGCAGCTGATTGACTGATTGATGCGTCTCGCTTTTGTTGGTCGACTAACGCAAAAGCGAGGATGCGTGTCTGACACGATTTTCGACGAAAAAAAAGGAGACACCGACAAATCTTATATATATATATATATGTATATATATGTTTTGATTCTCTATTTTTTGATGCCATTTATCACTATCCTTTTTCTCATCCTCCTCTAGATTCTGACCCATGCGTTCATTTTGATAATGTCACAGGGAGAGAAATTATATGATGTTATGTATTATGGTATTATTTTCAAATTATGATATTATTTTCAAACTAATCTGATGTTATCTTAGTCTCATATCATGTCTCTAATTAAAACTTATTTATTACAGATGTGCTAACCCGTGTATTTAGAAATGAATTCAGGGAGCATGATTTGAGGGGGAGCTTTACTTACTCCCAAATCAAATCAAAACATTATTGTGTACCATTATCAAAAAGGGAGAGATTGTTAAACTTATTTATTTTGATGATTTATTTAATTATATTTTAATTTATTTGAAAGAGAAAAATAGAATCCAAAATTTATTTTAATGATTTATTTAATTATATTTTAATCAAAATTTATTTTGATGATTTATTTGAAAGAGAAAAATAGAATCAAAATTTATTTTGTCCCATTATTTCTCACCTAAACCTTTATCCTAAATATTTTTAGAATGTATTTAATATTTGATTAAATCAGGAGTTCAAACAGCCCAAAACAAAGGTTCAAATAGCTTAGCACAACAGCAGGCCAAAAGGTTCAAAAGGTTCAAGTGAAAGATATTCAAATTAGTAATGATGGAAGTACAACGGCTATAAACGACTATAAAAGTTCAAAAAACTAAAAGGTTCAAAAGGTTCAAATGGAAGATATTCAAATTTGTAATGATGGAGTGGAAGATATTCAAATTTGTAATGATGGAAGTACAACGGCTATAAACGACTATAAATTCAAATGACTACAACGACTATAAACGACTATAAATTCAAATGAATACAACGGCTATAAACGGCTATAATTTTTATCATATATACCAAAGCCTCTAATGTAAACAAGTTACAAAAAAAACTGAAAATATTTTTTGATCTATAATCACTCACATCTATTCTCAGAAATTATACATTGAGCCTTATAGCTTTAAGCCTATCTCTTCTGTGTGAGATTTACAGAAAAATCAAAGTTTCATTTTATATATCTATCTTTGAGAGATATTTATTGTAAGCTTCATTTGAAAGCAAAAATACCATTTCATTTTATAAAAGTGTTGCAAACACTGTGTTCTTGAAATCTTGAGAGTGATTGTGAATCACCTAAGATTTGCAAGGGTTTGGGCTTGTGAAGTCTGTGTAAAATCCGTGGAGGATTGCTCAATTTGTAAAGAGGTTGCTAGCACCCCTGTGAAGCTAGAAGATAGTAGAGAATCTCAAGTGAAACTTGAGGAGTGGACATAGGCCGAGTTGAAGCCGAACCACTATAAATTTATTTGTCTCTCTCTCCTTTACCTCTTTATTTTATTTTAAATTGCCATAGCTGTATTTAACATTTTTATTGTGCTAAAATCATTAACTGACATAGTTGTTAAGGCATTTGTTTTAATTATTTTTATTTCATTAATTATATTTATCTATTGTGTTAGTTATAATTTTTATTAGGTTATTATTAATTTTAATTATAAAAACCTAATTCACTCTCCATGTTAAGTTGTCTTTTGGGTAACAAATTTGTTTGTGATGGGGTACAAATAAAAGACCATAGGGTGCAAGTGTCACTTGCACCCCTCATGTGTTGATTGTTTTTTTTTCCTGTTCCCACCTGTATGTAGTCTCTATACTTTAACCTTAGTTTCAATTTGATCTATCCGTCTAACTTAAAAGTTGCAATCAACCATTTTTGGATAGTTATCAATTCTTTAAATCTGCATAGAGACAAAAGTTACACTTAAAGTGTAAAGACTAAATTGTTTAATTTAAATTATAAGGATTAAATTAAATTTTAATTTTAACTCAAACTCATGGATGAAAAGTATAAAAAACCCAATATCTAAGGCACTATTTGACATAACTACCTCTCTATTTTTTTGTATATCTTTTCGTAAAAAATCAAAATATATATTTATTCAAGTTGTCGTTTGGCAATAGACTTTTTTAGTCGATTTTTTTGGCTTTTTAACTATTTAGCCTCCGTTTGGGAAGTGGGTTGGCTTTTTGGCTTTTTTGACTATATGAGTCTGGGCTCAAAAGCTTGGTTTGGAAAGGGCTTTTGGCATTTTGACTTTTTTGATTTTTTTGTGAGAGAAGAGTGTAATGATTATGGGGTTGGATGGGATGTTTTGTCTGTTGTGGCTCATGAGCCTATTCTGTCTTTTATGGCTTATTGAGCAAAAAAAGCCCAATGAGCCCTTGCCAAACCAACCCTTACTATTTTAGTAACATTTTAGTTTTTTGGTTAAAATATGAGATGAAAAAAATTTTAGTATGTTTGAAATGAGTTTTTAATTTTTTTCTGAAATGATGAATAAAAATAAAGAGAAAATAAAATCTTTAACTTTTTAGTATAGGTTGTTGACTTTTTAGGTTTTTAGTGATTTTTTGGTTTTTTGGTTTGAAAAATTTGCTTGGTTTGACTTTTTTGATTTTTTTGACTTTTGTGAAGAAAAAAATAAAATAATTATGATTTAGATGTGACATTTTGTCTTATTAACTTATTTACTTTATTTTATCTTTTGTGTTTTTTGGGCTAAAAAATTGATTGCCAGCAAAGCAGGCCGAACAACCCTTAAATATCAAAAGGACTTGCTTTGACCATAGGCCCAAAAAGTGTTGGGTCACTTTCTGGGCTGAATTTGACAGCCACCAAGCGCACGTTAGATCGAAGGCCCATGATTTTGGCGGGAAATTGTTGCGATGTCCCTGCTTTATTTCCCGCCACGCCAACAGTCGCCGCAACGCATCACAGCAGAGAGAGAGAGAGAATTTGGATTTGGAGAAGTGGGTTTGTCTCAGATCTTACAAAGACCTTTTACTTGTGAAGAAGATTTTCAGAGAGAACTGAAAAAATGGACTCCTATGGAGGTGGGTACTTCGTTGACGAGAAAGCAGTTCAAGTCGAGAACATTTTCTTAGAATTCCTCAAAAGGTTCATTTCTTCATTCAATTCATCTATATTTCATTTTTCAATGTTTGAATCTGATTGATTTGATATCTAATTTTGTTGGTTTCGGTGTAAAAATTTTGCTAAAAATCTGGGTTTGTGTTGGGTTCGTCTGCTTCTTCAGCTTTAAGTTGGATCAGAATTCTCGAGAACCATTCTACGAATCAGAGATCGAAGCCATGAGACCCAGCGAATCCAACACAATGTTCATTGATTTCTCTCATGTCATGCGATTCAACGATGTTCTTCAAAAGGCTATCTCTGATGAATATCTCAGGTACTTCATTCAATTCTCTCACTTCACTATCGTGTGTGTGTGTGTATATATATATATAGATAGATAGATTGATGTATTTGTGTGATGTAAAATCCCTCAATTTTTCTGGGTTGGGTTCAATTTTTAGGTTTGAGCCGTACCTGAAGAACGCCTGCAAGAGATTTGTGATGGAACAAAAACCCACATTCATCACCGATGATAACCCTAACAAGGACATCAATGTTGCATTCTTTAACCTCCCTTTGTTAAAGAGGTATTATATTACCCAAATTCAAACACACACAAATGCAAATGTGGCAAGAATTTGGAGCAATTGTTGTTTACATTGTGTTCTATTATTGCCCCCAATTTCCCCGCAAAAAAGTCAAATTTTCACGTTGTGTTGTTTTGCCCCCAATTCCCTACTAAACTGAAAAAACTGAATTTTGGGCAGATTGAGGGATTTGAATACTGCTGATGTTGGGAAACTGGTAGCGGTGAGTGGCGTGGTCACTCGCACTAGTGAGGTTCGACCGGAGCTTCTCCAGGGGACTTTCAAGTGCCTTGAATGCGGAAATGTCATCAAGAATGTTGAACAGCAATTCAAGTACACTGAGGTTACTAGTCTTCCTCACACAATCATATACATTTCACTGCTTTTTGGGGTGTTATTATTGTTGCATTGTATCAATTTCATGGCTTTCTTTAAAGAATTGTTCTTGGTGTGTTATCATAATTTGTTGCAGCCCATTATCTGCGTAAACGCAACGTGCAACAACAAGATGAGATGGGCATTGCTTAGGCAAGATAGCAAATTTGCAGATTGGCAGAGGGTTAGAGTTCAGGAAGCTTCCAAAGAAATTCCGGCAGGCTCGCTTCCCAGATCATTGGACATCATTCTTCGCCATGACATTGTCGAACAGGCCAGGGCTGGTGACACGTAAGGCGTTCCCTATTCGTGTTTTGAGTAATGTTGAATTGACATTTATTTTCTACGATGCAGCTTTGTCGATATTTATGTTGGTCTTTCTGTTACAGGGTCATATTTACAGGTTCTGTGGTTGTGATACCCGACATAACGGCATTGGCCTCACCAGGAGAGAGGTCTGAATGCCGTCGCGAAGCTTCTCAGCGCAACAATAGTGGTGCTGGGAATGAAGGTGTCAGGGGTCTTCGAGCATTGGGAGTGAGAGACCTCTCATATCGCCTTGCCTTTATTGCCAATTCAGTTCAGGTTGATTACTAATTAGCTTGTTGTTTAGCAACCTTATTGGCTTACATTTATTTTTTTACAATCTGTCTGTTATGTTCTCAAGTTGTTTTATTTATGTGCTCTTTTTAGATCGCTGATGGCAGAGGGGACACTGATATCAGAAATAGAAAGAAGGATGCTGATGAAGACGATAACCAACAGTTCACGGTTGGTTATTTCACTCAATATCTGTATATTATTTTTCAGAACTTATGTGCCATCTGAAATTGTGACTAATTATGAAAATGTGGTTTCCCACAGTATGATGCCCGTCTTTAAAATGTTTTGAACTGTCACGCAGTTAAAGATGGTGATAAAATTAAGGGTTTTTATTTCTGTAAGCTAGAGTACTCATTTTACAAGACCAATTACTGTGTAAGAACATATAGACTATTCTCATGTACAGAGCTCGTAATCAATTAATTGTTTGGAGCTCACATTTTTCACACGGTTTAGTGGAAAAGCTAAAACTGCTCTTTTAGATTGATTGAGAGTCTTCCCAGGTCTTCTAACAGACTGTAGCTGGTGTTGCAATCACATACTGGCTTTGTGATCATCTCCATATACATTTGCAATTTTAGCTTCATTGTGCCATATTAGCTGTTTCCATGCAGTTATCTGTACACCTGACAGTTCTCCGATTTTTATTTTGCTTGATTTGGTTCCTTTTGCAGGCAGAAGAGCTTGATGAAGTCCAACGAATGCGGAATACTCCTGACTTCTTCAATAAGCTCGTTGACAGCATTGCACCGACTGTTTTTGGTCACCAAGATATCAAGCGAGCCATCCTGCTCATGCTTTTGGGTGGTGTTCACAAGATCACTCATGAAGGTATCAACCTGAGAGGGGATATCAATGTCTGCATTGTTGGGGATCCCAGTTGTGCAAAGTCTCAGTTCCTCAAGTATACCTACTTTTCATTGTTACTCCCTTTTAAATTCTTGATAATTTTTTGTTCTTATTGTAAACTTACTATTTGTTCTCTGTGCTTTATAGGTATACTTCAAATCTAGTTCCAAGATCTGTCTACACATCCGGAAAGTCTTCCTCTGCCGCTGGGTTGACTGCAACAGTGGCAAAAGAACCAGAAACTGGGGAGTTTTGTATCGAGGTAGCATTTATGTTGCTCTTTAATCATTTTGTTTTGTTGATCTTTGAATTTTGTGTAGCATTACCATTTGGGTACATGCATTGCATGAACTAGGTCACTTTTTTTTTTTTAAAGGAAAACATCCAGAGAACAATGCAACCACACAACAGAATCTACATCTACAGTATGAGGGACAACCCTAGGGTCTTGAAAATTCTTCAATTTAGCAAGTCAGGTGAACTAGAGGGTGTCCATGGCAAAACATTTTTCTGCTATAATGTCAGTAGCATCAAAACCACCTGAGCCTGCATCATGGATTATTTTATTTTTCACCAAATCTGTGATGCTTACGTTTAGTGCTTGGCCTTGTTGCTTTACTTTCATTAAAACCAAGGACAATCAATTGTAATCCGAATTTCCTGAAGGTTGCCCCTTTTATGTTCTGATTATAAATCCATTCCCCCAACCAGAATTCTATGCAACTGTAGTTAGATTTTTCAGGATAAGGTGCAAAACTCCAATTGGCTTGAATTTCTCGGTTAACTAGAAAATGAAAGAATCTTTAACAGAAGTGAAACTGAAAGTAGTAGAAAGAAAATATAATTTGGTCTAGTCTCAGTAGGATTGATATCAAGAGCAAATGATCTTTAAAACATTATGGTAAAGAAAGATGTTACTGAAAAAACATGAACACCACAAACTTCTTGGGTCTAGTAGTACATGATTCAGGATTTCTGATGAATGGTGTTCTAATATTCTCAGGCTGGTGCACTGATGCTCGCGGACAATGGCATCTGTTGCATTGATGAATTTGACAAGATGGACATCAGAGACCAGGTCATTTTCATTCAATGTTTTATTTTCTTTTACATTTTATTCTATTTTCCCCTCCCCGTCCCATTTTTTGGGCATGTCCATTTGGCAACTACTGACCCCTGATATTCAAATGAACTTGAAGGTTGCAATTCATGAAGCGATGGAACAACAGACAATAAGCATAACCAAAGCAGGAATACAAGCAACATTGAATGCTCGAACATCAATTTTAGCTGCAGCCAATCCCACGGGGGGGCGATATGATAAATCAAAACCACTAAAGGTATGCATATTTATTTAGTATGAACTCCATTTACATGATGCGAATCATAGTTTTTGTGGGTCCTTTTTCTATATTGACCGCTGATTTCTTTCTGCAGTATAATGTGGCTTTGCCACCTGCTATCCTTTCGAGGTTTGATCTGGTTTATGTTATGATCGATGATCCAGACGATCAAACCGATTACCATATCGCTCACCACATTGTAAGAGTTCATCAAAAGCATGAAGAAGCACTTTCTCCTCCATTCACAACTGCTCAATTGAAGCGTTACATTGCATATGCAAAAACTTTGAAACCAAAGGTTTGTTGTCTATTTTCCTATAAATGGGATGCTATTTTTTTACTTCAAAAGTTTATTGTGCTCCTTTTGACTAAGTTTAAACTCATGCAGCTAAGCCCAGAAGCCAAAAAAATATTGGTAGATTCTTATGTTGCTCTCCGTAGAGGTGATACAACTCCTGGGAGTAGAGTTGCTTATCGCATGACAGTTAGGCAGCTAGAGGCATTGATCAGGCTTTCAGAGGCCATTGCTCGAAGTTATATGGACGTTCAGGTGCTTTAAATACCAAAACTCACGAGCTTGCATGTTGACATTGTTATGCATACCCACAACCAACTAGAATATGTATTTTGTGTATAGGTCTTTCCTCGCCATGTACGTGTTGCTGTGAGACTGCTGAAAACATCAATAATAAGGCAAGAAAATGATGAACCATGTCAAACATTAGCCTCTCTTTCTCGCCTCCCCAAATGATTATCATGGTTATATGAACTTTCTTTTGTTTTGCCATGCAGTGTGGAGTCCAGTGAGATTGACCTTTCTGAGTTTCAAGAAGAGAATCGTGATGATGGTGATGGTGGTGATGATGGAAATGATGGGCCGGGTCAAGATGAAGCTCATCCAAGTAGTGCTGCACCTGAGCCAGCTTCCAGGAATGCAGGTGGGACTATATTACTTAAGTAGTTTACTTCTCATGCTTTTCTTGTTTGGGATTTCCTCAATAGTAGGTGAATGAATTTGCTTTAATCAGGCTCTGATCATGCAGAAAGTGGAGCAGAGCCTGCAAATCGACAAGGAAAGAAGCTTGTGATAAGCGATGAATATTTTCAGAGGGTTACTCAAGCCCTTGTAATGCGACTTAGACAGCATGAAGAAACTGTAACGAGAGAAGGTAAATCACTTGCACCCTTGTAGTATTCATGCTTTTGTATATAAAGGCATGAATAAATTGTTGAGATGTAAAGAAAAGCCTCGTATTTTTTTCTCTTCTCGAAATGGAGTCTGTTACTAAAGCATGTATTTGCTGACTGTATAGTTTAGTGTGTGCTCTCAAGCCTTGGGACTAGGATTTTAGACCTAGACTATGATTTTAAAGCAAAGAAGAATGGATATGGACAAGAATACAACACAAGATAGATATGTTCACATAGTATATTTTTAAAGTCAGGACAAACAAGGCGAGGATAATAAGGCAACAAATAAATAATATTTTTATGTATATATAATAATAATAATAAAAAACATTTGCTTCATTTTTTACCTTACATCTATATCTGCTCATACCAAAATAGTGACTAATCATTTTCCACTTTCTGTATGTTGGAAAAGAAATGCGAATAAACTTTTTTTTTTGGCTTTATAGAGTTGCTAAAATTAATAGTCTAAAAGATGAGGGATCAACTGGTATGATTCGACATTATTGTGATTAATCATTGGCTCCCAAGTGGGGTTTTTCGTTTTTCTTTTTTAACCTTGCGATGAGCATCTGTTGGTGTGCAACATGCGTTCGTCACGGAAATGGCACCTTCTTAGAAGCGCCATGCTTCTTAGTTTTGAAGCCTTGATTCATGTCAAGCCAATGACCTTAATCTAATAGAAGTATAATGTGTTGTTTTAATTTAATCAGCAAAATTCTTAGTCTTGAATGGCTTGATGAGGCTTCTTTTATGCTTGCAGGCACTGAGCTGGCTGGAATGAGACAGAGGGATTTGATACAATGGTTTGTTAGTCAACAGAATGAGAAAAATAACTACAGCTCCATGGAGGAAGCAGCAGCAGAAGTTTCAAAAATCAAAGCCATTATAGAGGTAAAAACCTTTTTTTATGCTACACTTTAGCTCGTATTTATTAAATATTTCTTCAACATATAAGCTTGAATTATTCAAACAACATATTATCTCAAAATGCAGAGTTTGATAAGAAGGGAAGGCCATTTGATAGTCCTGGATGACGGTAGGCAAGCAGCAGAAGACGGTGACAATGCTAGGCAGTCTTCTTCATCATCTAGAAATGACAGGATTTTAGCTGTGGCACCTAATTATGTCATCGATTGATTGGGAAAAATAAATGCTTCTAATAATCTGAATCTCAACACGCATCTAGGGCTTACATGGTCATGGTGAGTTCAACCTAACTAGAGCCAAACTTACAAATGATGTATGATTCAATTGCAAGATGTTTTCAAACTGAAAAATACAGGTGTGAGAAGCCAAATTTGGCTCCACTGTCACTGGCTTAAGGTGTAGAAGGGTGAAAATTGTATTTCAGCAGAGTTGGCTAGTTGTTGGTTTCCTATCTTTAGGGTTAATAGATTTGAACTTTATGTTTTGTGCTTAGTAAATCACATTGCAAGATATTGTTTGCCGTGTTTTATTGCTATTGTATTTCATTGTTATGCTGTTTTTAATCTAATACTTGTTTCCTTGGAACCATTATAAGTTGATAAGTTGCGTGCTTGAAAATTACTTGGAATACAAAGGAGATAAAAATTTATTTGAGAGTGAAGTTGAATTTGATTGTGCACTCTTTTGGTGAGCCTTAGGGAGCTGTGTCAAAGGAATCATATTATTTAAATTCTACTGGTGCTCGGTTAATTAAAAGATGATTCGAGATTAGTTTAATAATGTAAATGAAACATATTTGAAAATATGGTCTCGTTTGGAAACAAGTTATTTTAGTGGCTTTTTGATTTTTTACGAAAAAATATGTAGAAAAGTAAAGAGTGTTGTGATAATTTATAGTGATTTTTAAAATTTTTTAAACATTTTATGTGTTATAAGTAATGTACTAACATTTTGTACTTCAAACTTTAGGATACTTGTTAACAAACCCTTTTAAAAAAAATGATATTCATACAAAATTTAAATGAAAAATAATGATGGGCATTTTGATTTTTAATAAATCACACATTAATTTTTATAATTTTTTATATATAAATTTTTTTTTGTGTATCATTATTATGATATTATACAGTAACAAATTAAACAAAACCCAACTTCAAGGCTGAGGGAGTTGGAGCGTGTGGCTAAGGTTAGTTTGGACCTATTAGTTTTAGAGGCCATTAATTGGTTTTCCAATTTATTATTAAGAAGATGAGTCCAAAGTCTATATTAAGCCTCCGTTTGGTAAGTGGGTTGGCTTTTTAGCTTTTTGGTTTTTTTGACTATTTTAGCCTGGGCTAAAAAGCTTGGTTTGGGAATGGCTTTTTGGTTTTTTGGCTTTTTTGACTTTTTTTGTGAGAGAAGAATGTAATGATTATAGGTTGGATGTGATGTTTTGTTTGTTGTGGCTAAAATAGCCTATTTTGTTTTTTGTGGCTAAAATAGCCAAAAAAACCTGAAAAAGCCCTTGCCAAACACAGGCTAAAACTGTCACAATCATTAGAGTCCTTCACTCAAACGCTAATCTTCGTCATGCTTAAAATTTCCAAAGAAGCTAACACTACAAATATATATATATATATATATTATATAGATAAGATTTATTTTAACTATAATTATATATATTATTAAAAAAAAATATTTTTTTCATGCTTGAATGATACATTATAAGAATTTATTTTTATTCTAAGAGAGTCATGTCAGTATGTATTTTCTTAATTATATAGAGTTCATAAAGTAAATGTAATATTTTGAGGGTCCTCTCTCTCGAGTGGAGGTTTTTCTCTTGCTTTGTGCAAGTTTCTTTTCCCACCATCGGAGGTTTGTGGTGGTGTTTGTGGAACCATGACAGATTCTCTCCTTCATCTTGCTTGTAATTTATCTCTCACTTCAGAGGAGGATGCGGTTGTTTGTATTGGTGAGGCTTCTACACGACTGATAACGGAACGCTCGGATCTGTGCCTTGTCGGGACGCTTCTCACTCGCAGGCCGTTTAATGTTGATGCTATGAAGAGTTGTTTGCTCTTTGTTTGGAAACCCACCAAAGGAATGCAGATGCGCGTTATTGGCGATAACTTGTTTGTCTTTTCGTTTGGCCATGTTGTGGATAAACGGCGAGTTTTATTGAACGAACCTTGGACATTTGATAAGCACCTCTTAATGTTGGGCGAGATGGACCCCAAAGTTCAACCGTCTGATATACGATTGGTATATGTGCAATTCTGGGTACATGTTTATAATCTTCCTCTGCTTCTTATGAACACGGAGGTTGGTACAATTGTTGGAAACACTATTGGTAAGTTTGTTGATATGGACTTTGAGGCTGGTGGTCTTGCATGGGGACGATCAATGCGCATTCGGGTATCTCTTGATGTTCGGAAACCTTTACGTCGAGGGATGAAGGTATCTTTGTTGTCTGCTGATCCTCTCTTGGTGGACTTCAAATATGAGCGCCTCCCAATCTTTTGTTACTTCTGTGGAATGTTAGGCCATAGTGAGCGTGACTGTGATGCCAAGATCTCTGCCGCTGTAGCCCCCATTGCAGTGCCACAGTATGGGTCTTGGCTGCGAATGGATAATTTCCGTTCTAAGGGGGTTCGTAGATCAGGCTTGATGGATGGGGGCGATGCGAATAGGCCTTCTTCTGGTGATCTGACGGGTGCGGTGGCTGACCGGAATCGTGATCGTAATCGGGATCGGCAAGGATTTGTTAGGGAACATATTTCGCCCATGATTACTGGCGTCAATCACGGAGCTGATTTAAATAGGGCCACAAATAAGGGATCTTCCATATCTTCACCGATACATCCTCATTTTGAATTATCAAATAGGCGGGAGATTGAGGAGGTTGGGTGTAATAGGCTTGATCAACCTAGTGGTAAGGAGGGCCTTGGCGTGATCCAGCCCAATCTGGGAGAGTTGAAGGGGAGGGGGCCTGTGGCCCAACTAGATCCCAAGTCTCCTACTGCTAATTTGGAGGATGCTGTTAGCCCAACGGGTGTTCCACAGGTGGTTAAAAAGAAGTGGAAGCGGGCGGCCCGCCTTTACATGGGGTCAAATTCTACTGGACCATTTGACACTGGGCCGAAACGAGCTTTTGATGAGGAGGTGCTGCCGGGTGGGTCACCGAGTGATGAGACCAGTTCTACGGCTATTGGAAAACGTTTGTGTGTGCATGGGGGTGGTGTCTTCCACCAAACTCCCAACCTTTCAACAGTGGAGGCTGATGATCAGCCCCGCCGATCACAATGAATGTGCTATGTTGGAACTGCCGTGGGCTTGGGAACCCTCAGACAGTTCAGTCGCTTCAGTTTTTATTGAAGACGGAAGCTCCTGGGCTGGTTTTTCTTATGGAGACCAAGCTCGATTCGAAACGTATGGATGGGATTCGGAGAAAACTTGGACTGGTTGGTGGTTTTTATGTCAATCGGGTAGGATTAGCGGGCGGCCTCGCGTTGTTATGGCCTGCGGGAATCCAAGTTAATGTGCAAAGTTATTCGGTTGGCCATATCGATGCCTTTGTGGAAGCTGGATTGGGTGATCACACGTGGAGATTTACGGGGTTTTATGGAAATCCTGACACGTTGCTAAGGAAGGATTCCTGGGCTTTATTGCGACGGTTGGCAGGGTGCTTCCAGATGCCTTGGCTCTGTGCGGGTGATTTTAATGAAATTTTGTTCTGTCGAGAGAAACTTGGAGTGCTGGGTCGAAGTCAAATTCAATTGGACAATTTTCGACATGCTCTTGAAGATACTCACCTTGCTGATATGGGTTTTACTGGGCCATTATTCACTTGGTCAAATAATCGAGTTGGTGCGGCTTTGGTTCGAGAGAGGTTAGATCGTGGGTTAGCAAACGATGCTTGGCAAGGAATATTTCCCCATGCAAAGGTCTATCCTCTAGCTTGCACATCCTCAGATCATTTACCTCGCTGTATTGACCTCTGTGGGGATAAGGCTCAACGTGAGATTCGTCGGGATAAACATCGCATTTATCGTTTTGAGGCTATGTGGTTACGAAATGCAAACTGTGAGCAAGTGGTCATTGAAAATTGGGGGCCTTCTTCTACCACGGATGTTAAGGGCTTGGTTTCTAATATTTCCCGAGTGAGCTCTTCGTTGAGACAGTGGGACCGAAATGTATTTGGGTGTGTGAAGAAGCAGTTGACGGAAAAAACTAACCACCTCCACCGGTTACTTACAAGGTGTGGTATTTCTTTGGCTGAAGCAGAAGAAGAGCGTACGTTGCGGTGTGAAATTGATGAGCTTTTAGAACGAGAATCTATTTTTTGGGGTCAGCGTGCTCGAGCCAATTGGTTAAAGGATGGCGACCGTAATATTTCTTTCTTTCATTCTAAGGCCACCCAAAGACATAAAAAGAAGAAGATTGACGGCATAGTCGATTCCCGTGGGATCTGGCAAGCGGAGCACAGTGTAATGGAGGATATTTTCGTGACTTATTTTAAAGAGCTATTTTCAGCAGGCGTAGGGTTGACAATGGACCCGGTGCTCCAGTTGGTCCAAAGGAGAATTTCAGATCGTAGTGCTGTTACTCTAAGTCGCCCTTTCTCTGCACTTGAAGTACACCATACGCTTCTCCAAATGCATCCAACGAAGGCTCTCGGGCCTGATGGTAAGCCTGCTTTATTCTTTCAAAAATTTTGGCACGTTGTGGGTCCTAGTGTCAGTAATGCTGTGCTTGGGGTTTTGAATGGGGTGGATGATATTTCACAGATTAATCATGCATTTCTTGTGCTTATTCCTAAAGTTAAAAAGCCCCAGCATATGTTCGAATTTCGGCCAATCAGTCTGTGTAATGTTGTCTACAAGCTTGTTGCCAAAGTGTTGGCCAATCGCCTTAAAGAGGTTTTGCCATCAGTAATTTCTGACACTCAGAGTGCTTTTATACCAGGCTGATTGATCACAGATAATGCGTTATTGGCTTTCGAAGTTTTTCATTTTCTTAAGAACAAGCGGGCCGGAAGAGATGGATTTCTCGCACTGAAACTAGACATGAGTAAAGCTTATGACCGAGTGGAATGGCCATTTATTCATCAAATGATGCTCCAATTAGGTTTTCCGCAGCATTTTGTGCAACTCCTCATGAATTGTGTGTCGACGGTATCATTTTCGGTTCTTCTTAATGGCAAGCCTTCAAGATTGTTTCGTCCAACACGGGGTCTCAGACAGGGGGATCCCCTTTCGCCATACTTGTTCACTATTTGTGTGGAAGGGATGTCGGCGATTCTAACCCATGCTATGGTAAACAACCAGTTGTCGGGGATTTCTCTTTGTCGCGGTAGTCCACGATTATCGCATTTGTTTTTTGCTGATGATAGTCTTCTATTTGCGGCTGCCACTGAAGCTGAAGCCGGGGTGCTACGAGATGTCCTCCAACTATATGAGCAAGCCTCGGGGCAGAAAATTAATTTCCAAAAATTTGCTGTTTGCTTTAGCAAAAATACGGAATTGGTTACCCAGCAAGTGGTGACATCAATTCTTGGGGTGGGTTCCATGGCGACGTACGGGAAGTATTTGGGGTTACCGTATTGC